AGGCCAGAATGTTTTCTTGTTCCTACCACAGGTTTAGAGAATATTTTTGTGTTCTCTTCTTCTAACTGTAGTGAGTCTTAACCTGTGGCTTGGTGCAGCAAGTTTCACTTCCTTTCCACCAGACAATTAATGCTTTTGTTCCTTAGAGGAGATAGAGTTGAAATATTGAGGCAAGGCTTTTTGCTTTTCTTTAGTGGCTTCTGTTCCACTCTACAAAAGCTGCATTATTAGGGAAGCTTTCTCTAGACCAGTGTTTCTCAATAACAGCTCTATTGACATTATGGATTAGATAATTTTGTTGTAGAGGGCTAGTCTATATATTGCAGGATGTTTAGCAACATTCCTGGCTTCTAACCACTAGATCTATCCAGCAATGGTAATTAAAAATGTCTCCAGACATTGCCAAAATGTTCCCTTTGGTGAAAAATTGCTCCCTCTTTAGAACCATCACTCTAGACTTTTGCTCTATGCTCTGTGTTTCTTCTGAGTGCCCAGGAGGTCCATAGAAGACTGTGAGTAGATATAAATTTTCATTGTGTTTAAAGCTTCCACAAGTTCTATACTCTCACATTAGGCCACAGTCAGTCTTTAGAAAGGTGTTAACACTATTTGCTCATAAAGGGTCTCATGTTTGCACTAGTAAGCAACTGTTTGCATCCTGTCCCTCAATGGAAGTACTTAACTTTCTCTACATTTGAGGTTAATTGGTTACCCTGTGACCTAAGTTTTCTGGTGAGTTTAATAGCAGTTGTGAATTTGCAGGTTTAATTTTTTTTTTCTTTACATTTGAGAACGGTGCTCCTTCCAGCTTTGTACACTCAGAGTAGAAGCTGGAAACCTGATATACATCAGTTTAGAATTTTCTCAACTATTCTGTAGAGTAACTGAAGAATTTTAGAGGTTAATCAACTTTTCCATGTATAGGAGATTTGAACCAGTATTCCTTTTTTAACTTATTCTCCAATGTACATATAGACTGCAGTATAGAAAATTACTGGGTAGGATGAGGGAAAAGTATGGAAGAGATGTTTATTATCCTGGGTACCAGGCCTCTTCTCATTTCTTCCTCAGAAGTTCAAATTCAGATTAGGGGCCAGACAAGAAATAGAAATGAGTGAAGTGTGCTTGATCTATGGTCTCATTTTTCTTGACACGTGTGGCTTTACTTTTGATAGTAGTAGGGATATGGAGAAATCTTTATTTATCAGAAAAATAGCAGTGTAAGCAGAATAATGTGTGGAGATTCTCTCTCTCAACCATGAATGGTTAAGGACTGGCAGAATTTAATAAAACTGGGACATGTATTGTGATGATGCCTGGATACTGTGGATTGTCTTAAAGGTACCTGTTTATGTTGTCTGCCGTAAGATAATTTCATTCTATATTAAGTATTTATCAAGCACCCACTACTTTCCAGGCTCTGTTCTAGGTTCTGAAGATGCTGCAATGACTAAAACAACCCCTGCCCTGAAGGGGTTTACATTTAGGTTTGTGATATGTACTAGGTAGAACGGAAACTGTTGGATTGGAGAGTATTGCCTAAAAAGCATGCCACTATGCCTCACCTTCAACTAATTGTTACCAACCATGAATGCTAAGCCTATGTTCCCAAGGTTTTAAATTTTCCAACAAGATCTGAAAATTAGATTTTTATTTTAAGTTGTAGTTTTCTTATTTTCAAATATTGGCTCAACATTTAAAAATTCCCTGTGGAGGTCAAACAAAACATGTCTGCAGACAGAATCTGGCTTGCGACCTCTGTCTAACATCATCTTTGCCCTTGCTGGTCTGCTTGAGAAGAGAAATGCAATGGAATGACAGCTGTAGCCATGCTAATTCCCTTCTCTGGAAGCAATGAACCAGTCGTCAGAGATTTGGCAATTTCAAGGCTTAATTTGCAATACAAGGTCAACAATTTTAGTGAAAGCCATTTCAAAACCAGACTCAACACAAACAACAACAACAAAAAAGACTATATAAATCAGCGGTGCTTATTAACCTGAACTCAACAGAATATAGCCAGCAGGTTACTTGTAAGCAGGTTATAGTGCAATTATTAATCTGCTCACAAGACTACCTTTTAGAAAATGATTTCTATTGTAGGATACTTGCATTTCAACAAATATGCCACACTGAGGATTAAACTGGTAGTCATGGTAAGAGTTTTGTATTGGTGCCTATTAGTTTATTTGCTAAATTCAATGTTTCCAATAGGGTCCAAACTAAGGTTTTTGTGAGCTTATAGTGTTTATAATTTCTTTTTTTTTTCAAAAAAGGAAGCGAGTTTGGATTGTCTTGACAATGCAGATCTTATTGATGGTTTAGTAAATGCCTTCATTTCCAATTTACTCTGCATTTTGCCAGTTACTCAAGTGATCATATTTTTTAAGCAGATGTGATTGCTGCTCATTAATCACTAACTTATTGAAATTACTGCTTACTGACAAATTGGTATGTATTGTCCTAGGAACATGTCAATTCGCATTTTCATCCCCAGTTTTCGCTCATATGTTTCCTCCATTTGTCTCTTTCCGTTTGACTTTTCATCTGTCCATTTCTTGAAGTTCAGTCTACTGCTGGTGCACACATTTACTGGGCCCCTATGTCCTTTATCCTGATCCAGTTTCTCTGGGCTCTAGAACACAGTCTCATTCCCCTTTTCTTCATATACACAACTTTGATTTTGACCTTTTAACAGTTCCTTCCCTATTTTAAGGTCTTTGAATTAAGTGCCCAGGAATTACACTGGGGACACACTTTCATGTATCAATATTTCAGTCACAGTCAATGCCTCACCCAAATCTGATTTTGCTCCATAGTTAGGTCAAATGTTCGCTGATTTTCCTCTGGCACAAGGTAGTTGATTTGCTCTTTAGCATCCATGTTCTGCTGATTGTTCCTCAGTTGCAAGTGATCTCACAACAATCCCCACATTGCAGCTCATTCAAACTCAGGCACGGAGATTCTTAATGAAAACAATGCCTGATCTAAGCTGTCAGAGATTCCCAAGTGGGGAGGCTCCCTTGGCTACTCCCTTTGTTCATGAGACAGGGGAGTAGGCAGCTTCATGCCTCGTCTGGTGATAACTGCTTCTTAAAGGATACAACTCATTTCTATTAAGCTACAAGATTCAACTACATATTTTGGATGAGATGATGAGAAATTTTGCTCTTATTTCACCATTATACTGAGTGTTATTATAATGATACTATGTCCTGAAAATCTGTGCAGAAAGATGTTTAAAATGCAGCCTTCTGTGATGGGGCATAAGTGATCTGTGTCATTTGAAACTTTTCTTAGCACTCTAGTAATGTTAACAAAGGCAACCAGTGCTGCTTTTGGCTCCTAGACTTTGGATTATGTGTTTGCAAGGTAAATTTTTGATGACAATAACATACACAAGTTTACAAATTACAAACTTTTTAAAAGACAAATATTAACTGTTAGATTAAGACCAAATTCAAGGAAATAAAAGAAAAATAGATTTCTACTTCCCTTACATTCTCAGAAATAGATGCTTTTGAATTACTCTTCAGTCACCATGTCATGGATAAAACAAGCAGTCAAACTTCAATTTCTGTTTAGTATTTAATTTTTTTAACATGATGTTGGTTTTTCTTTTAAATAATTTTACATGTATTTCACTTATTTTAGAAATTTATGCAATCTTTGAGTATTTTATGTTACTTTTACATAAAAAAATTGAGTTTTAAAATTAGCACTGGGATTATACTCTTTCATTTGTTTCAACATTGATCAGTATTCAAATGCTCATATGTACTTTATGAAGCAATTTCTATTTTTATTTGTTAATTTTTGAGTCGTGGAGGGTGGTCTTGCTCTGTTACCCAGGCTGGAGTGCTGTGGCACATTCACAGCTCACTGCAGCCTCAACCTACAGGGCTCATGCAATCCTTCCATCTCAGCCTCCCAAGTAGTTGGGACCACAGGTGTGTGCCACCATGCCTGGCTAAATGTACGAGGTCTTGTTATGTTGCCTGGGCTCAAGTGATCCTCGCATCTCTGCCTCACAATGTGCTGGGATTATAGGCATGAGTCACTGCGTCTGGTCTGAAGTAATTTTTTTTTTTAACTGTAATTGATAGCTCTGAACTGAAGAAAAAAGAGTGTCATGTGTATCATTCATACATGATATACTTTGTTTTACTGCCAAATACTGATAACCATTTCAAAAGGGCAAATTCCAAGCTTAAAAGACTTATTTAGTGAATGTTTATAATAATTTTAATTAAATGCTGAAACTATCATTCATTTTTAAAATGCTCCTTTTATTTTAATCATCTGGTCCCAGACAATGTTCTGGTGTAGTATTTCTGTCAATTGAAATAATATCAAATGGAATAGTTTGCACATTGAACTTGATAATTCATTGCATGACTTCAAAAAGTTTTAAGAGTGTTAAAACACATTTCTTTTCATTGAAATTTTTATATTTTGTATCTTTGCCAGATAATGTTCTCAGGGTTTAATCTGTTTGGCCCCTAAGTACACATATTTATCATTGACTTTATCAGTTATTATTTATTTATGGCAGTTGCAAAACTGGATCATAATTTTTTAAAAGATAAACATTAGTGCAGCTACCTAAGGCACGTAGCAGCAGATTGTCATTGTAATTTCAATGCAGTCTGAATTTGTCACCTTTGGGGCATAAAATAGGAAAGTTAGTCCATCTAAATTAAGGATGAAGTTTTCCTAGAGATTGCCTTTATAAAACATTTTGAGAATATTTATTAGCCCTCAGTTTATTAGGAGTCTAGCTAAACAAACAAGAGCAACAACAATAAAAGGTAGACACCAAATTATGTACTGTTGACTTTCTACTTAGAATTTTCAGGACCATTAAGTAGCATCATGTGTCTCCCATCCCAGATTGCTAAATATATCTCATAGTTGGGCCAACTTACTCTGATTTTAAAGTATTATTTTTCGTTTTTAGATTTAAATCTGTGCATTGCCCAGGACAAGGAACCAAGAACATGGAGAGAGAGGTAAAATCAATGTCATAGTAGCCCCCTCTTTGATTTTTTTCCCTTTAAAAGCAACATTTTATGCTTTATTTTCATGTTACCCATGAACGGAAAGTACAGAAGCGAGTAGAAATTTAGCCTCCTCTGTAGCATTCATGAGTAAAAAAAGATGATTAATGAGTGTAGCAGACATGGTAGCAAAAGAGAGTCTATAGAAGTGAAACAAAAGCGCTTTCAGAATTGTCAAGGATTCCCATGATCCATAGTAGGACCTCATGGTGCCTGTCCACTGTTTCTATTTTTGATTAGATTTATAAACACAGCACCACATATTTTCATGTGGCTTATCGCCTAGGGGCAGAATCAGATTGGCTGCACTAAAACTGTGAGGCTTGTGAGTTTTGGGCAAGGGCTAGAGTGAAATAAGTAGTGTAATTGTTTTTGTGGAGTGACCGTGGGACCTCCTCTGTTCTGAATTACACATTACTCAACCCTTTGACCTGACCAGACTCGGCAATGGCTGGCAGGACTCCTAGAGCTGTGCTGAAAGGGTCATCGCTGAACAAGCTGGAACGTTATCTGTCAGGAAAGTATGGGCCAACAACAAGTGAGACACATTTGCAACCACTTCAACTTCATACATTACCATATCAGTTGTTATCTCCACAGGAAGTGCCCACGTGCAAAATTTTTGTAATCCGAATTTTTCACAACTCCTTTAATGAATAGACTTTTTTTTTTTTTAAGTTGACTACATTTTGGGGATATTTCATCTTTGGGGATATTTTGCATAATTATTTAAACATTATTATTTTGGTTTTTTAAAAATACATCAGGTTTGGGGAAATGTCATAAGCCATGATTAAAGTTCTTCCATCCCAATAGTTTTAATTTAAAGTATTTCAACATAGGTAGTAAACCACTGATATAATTCCTCAAAGGAATCAAAGTTAAGGGTGGGGGTGCAGGAAATTGGGAAAAGTTTGGGGAGAATTGTAGATACTGACAGTTTTACAGTTGTGGAGAATTCATTCTGTGATTCACATGATGATGAGTTGGATAAACGTGTTTGTATCTGTCTAGGTATAATTTTGAAATCACACTGTTTAATTTTTATTCTGGATTTAGTAGATTACATGTTCAAAGGCAATATAAGCCGATAACTCAAGTTGACTTTCAGCCACTTGACATTATTTCCAAAACAAGTCCGGTTTCTGAAACATGTCTAAAAATTTTAAAAATTGACCTTATTTCATTGCCAATTCTACACAGTAAAGGTTTCTATAGATATTTTATGTTTATAGCAACTTGGAAATAATTTAACATTTAAATTTTTGCTTCCTGATCTGAGACAACTCAGACTGAATATTAATTCATTTCTTAGTTACATGATATTTAAAAATTTCTTTAAAGAGTACACAACTTTTTGTTTTTTGAACTGCGTTATCTTACTCCAGAGACTCTAAAATATGAAAATAGGGAGGTCCCTGTCAGATCAGTTACAAAAAAAAAAAATAGTATAAATAAAAAATACTACAATATCCCTACAACCCCCCCAACCAAACTGCATCCAGTCCTACCCAGTCTCATTTTCATTAGCAGTGAAGGGTTTGCTCTCCACGTAATCTAACATGGAATGCTTAGAGCAGACAGGTGCAAATTGCAAGCTGTTTCACTTTGGCTGTTATCCCTTAAATCGACAAAGAAATAGACTGGGAGAACAAAAAAGATTCCAACTCAAGTTGCATAAATGAAATTCTTAACAGGGACACACCAGCTGGCTGGGAGAATTCAAGGTAGTGAATACTAAACATTACCTTGTGCCACTTGCCAAGGAGAAGGGCTTCAAAAACACCCCCTCCCTTTTATGATTGAGATGATGTTTCCTTAGGATTGTATTTTGCTTTATTGTAAAGGTGACACTATGGCCAAAGTGGATAAGAACGGAATCTAACGTACCTGTTCCTGTAATGGTGCCATCATTACGCTCCTCCGAGCGATTCAGGCATGATTAGGTTCCTGGAGTGGGACCAGATTGACAGTATTTCTATCCATGTCTTTTTTGGCTGATCCAAGCAAAGCCCCAGAGCAGTGAAACAAAAAGCTATCACCACCACCCCCGCCTCCCAACAAGATGAATCTGCTGAGCTAGTCTGCTGCAAAAAACAGTTGTTCATGTTAGGAACACCTAATTTCATTTCATGGAAGAGACAGGCCCTGCCAGTGTGTGTAGGAATGTAAGGTATGCGTTTCCAAAAAAAGGGTCCTAACTCTATCATTCCAAAATTGCTTCTCTCTGTGCCTTCCCAGTGTGCACTGGAACTGTTGTCTGCAAGAAGGAGCTTTCAGTTGAGCTCTGAGGCTGCTGATGGGGTATGACTGTGTGATCTGCCCATGCAGATAAGGTTAGGAAGACAACTTGAGCTGGCCTTGTTTACAGCTGGACAGAAGAAAACAGTGAGACACAAATGAGGGCTGACGGTTTCATGAAGCACAATTGGTTGATCCCAGATGCAATCTGACTGCCCTGAACTGAGCGATGATCCGTACAGTATGCAGAATTCACTTTCTTGCTGGTCTGTGCCCACCAGCCTCGGAGGACCGCTCCCTGCACCCCTCAGCCATGGCTTTGAGTGCAACCAGAGCTGAACAACTGCACTGTGGGACCCGATTCCTTCTGACAACAATCACATTCTTTTAAAACTTCATAGGTTTTGGTTGTCACTGGTTATAAATGAGTTTGCTGTTGTTCATGTTTGCTACTCTTTCGTAGATTTGCTTTTAAGTTGAGAGTGTTGGCATCAAAAGATATTTGTTGCTTTATAATGAAAAGGAAAATATCATTGGAAACACTGTCAGTTCTTAAACATTTCAGGCTTGCAGTTGTTTTTTTTTTCCAGTTCAAATCACAAAGTGATGTCTTCTTCCACACAATAGAATATATTTAGGAAGATAACCTTACCAACATTAAAAGAGAGCTAATTTAGCACTATTTAAACACACATAAAAAAGAAACATTTTACCTTTCAGTTATGCAAGATAAATTATTTCTAGAGTTTGCTGCACACCGTTGTGCTGATAGTTAACACTACAGTACATGCTTCGAAACGTGTGCTAAGAGGGTAGATTTCATGTTCTTACCAACATAAAAACAAGTTTAAAAAATTTATTACTAGAAACTGTTCACCTTGATTTGATTTAGAGAGTTATTTTGCTTTATATCAGCTAAGCAGAAGCATGAAGGAAAAAAGTCATGGAGTATATTCATAGTAGATTTAGTTAAGAGTTCTAGATATTTTTGCTTATCTTCATAACTGAACAGATATCACTGAGAAGCAGGAAGATACTGGTGACTAGATTCTGTTTCTTTAATTTTTGATAGACAATAAAGGAATTAATAAGTTAATGTGAACTTATTAAAGTGATAACATTTACATACATACACTAACTTCACAAATGGCAATGAATGAATTGATGTGAAATATGAGTGAAATATTATTTTGTGTGAACTAAAGAGATAAAAAAATTCTCATCGGGAAAGAGAATCTAAAAGGTGAGAAAAGGTGGAGGAAAATGCAAGTTACACTGCTTGAAGGTACTCATGTAAAGGAGAGAAAACAGTGAGGAAATTGGCAAAAGAGAGAAGTCAGAAATCACTCCTAATTTCCTCTTGAACATATGTTAGTATTAAAGAGGTCACAAAATACAAACTATCACATGGCGATCATCTCAAAGAACTCACCTCTGGTGTGTACTATCAGACATTGCTTTCTTTTTAAATATGTGAACTTGTGAAAATATCTTTGAGACATTTATACCATTAGAGAGCAAGTACGTAATTTCATTTGAAGTCCTTAGTAAGGAAATGAGGTCTATTAATAGGCCACATCCATCTATTTAAAAGCATGTTTAACTGGATCTGAAAGGAGTGAAGTGCCAAAGTTGCTGAACCATATCAAGAAAACTAATATCTGCTGTTATCTCAAATGAAGGCTGTGAAAAAAAACAATCACACTGCGACCTCTTTCTTAATAAAATTTAGGAACACTTATTGCAGTTGTGAACTACTGTTTTTAAAAGTTTGCCAAGTTGCTAACGAATGTAGTGGAATCTTTTAATATTAACATCAAGATATGTAAATTGAAGTATTTATTTTTCTGTTGTTATTTATAGCATATATTTTAATGCTGTGCATATAAGCATTTTTTAAAGTTTGTATCAGATTATGAGGCAATATTCTAGATCTTATTTGTATTTTTAAGTCAATTACGCAGAGTACACCATTCTACTTATAGATGTAGAATAAGGTATTATAATTACAGTGTTCTTTAAAGAAAGAAGAATGTTTTAAAATTATTGGACTTGTCTCTAAATAAGGTTTATTATAGATTTTCTTTAAAGGAAGCACTTAAAATGTTAGTTGAAATGTTTTACTATTTTAAAAAAATTTTTACCCACATGGGTCTTCTTTCCCAATCTTTTGAGAAAAATTCAAAATCTTTTTTCTTTAGTTTTGTTTATAGTGGTATAAAATAACTTTTTAACCTATTTTACACTAAATATGTACTTTATATTTCAAAGAAGAGATTCTCAGAAAAGAAGGCACAGCATTTTAGTTGGCTACATGGCATTTGTAAGTAAATCTTCAATATGCCCTTATAATATTATACTATTTATGATCTTATAAGAAAAATAAAACATTTTTGAAAGAAGTCATGTATATTGTAAACATTTTAACTAAAAATGAGAATATTAGAAACTCCAATAAATCTATTAAAAGCAACAATATATAATTTTAAAGTAAGCAAGTCATTTTATAATTCTGAATTCAGTCATCAGAAATTGTATTAAATGAGTTGTTAAATATGACAGATACTCTTTTTGAAATGTAACTGTGGTTTGTTGTTTCAGTCTTTATCTTTCCTGGTCTTTTGCTTATTGTTAGCCTAAGTTTTATAATTCAATCTGAGTTTGGGCTTTTCTACCAAAGATATTTTTAAAAATTTAGTCTGACAGTTTCCAAGTATTCATTTGGAACTTGTAAGAGTCTGAGAGCTCTAATAATATTTCTGGCTATGCATTTTCATTTTTGACCATTTATAATGCATTCTAATATTAATGGGTTTTCTGGTCATGTAATGATTTCTGGTTTTCAGTGACATGACATCTTAAGAAATCTTTGTAAGTCCTACAGAGTGTGATTCTATTGGCACTTTGTATTATTTTACCTATTACTGAAATTTAAGAAGATTGAATCATATATATTCCTGATTAGATTTAAATAAATAATCAGTTCACATACTGGAATCTAGCAGTTTAAAACAAATATGGATACAAGTGAGAACAAATATATAGCTCATGCACGTTTTCTACAAGATAATTCTATCTTACAAAAAAAAGGCACTGTACCACAATGTGAATGAATGAATATCTATTGAGCAGTGTAAGTTTCTCAGTGCAAGTTTTCCAGCATTCTCAATTTGTTGAGGGCTCTTTACATTAATTAAAAATGATAAAAACAAAGTATTTTAATGTGACCTTCATTTGGCATTTGTATTAACTTTTCTTATCCTATTTTATTTAATTCTTCCACTTCTGTTGTTCAATTAGTGTTTGACCCCTTTAGGAGAGATGTAAATTAAATGACATTTCAATGCCATCCCATATTTAAAATACTGTGTTAGTTGTGGATCATAAATGATGATCTTCATTCTTTAGCTAATTTATTCATTTAACAATTTCCCTCCAGAAGTTTCAGCAGAAGGCTCAGAAGCAAACTAAGCAGAAGAAATCCAAGTCGGCTGAATTTCTGATGGGTGAGCCTTGCTTGATGAGTTATTGCTCATAATTTGTGTAAGGATTAATTAACTAATTACAGACAAATGGCTGTGGGCGAAATTTTGCTCTTGCTTGTCAGGGTGCAATTTGTAATTATTTTAATCATTTATTCTTTTTTTTAAGAGTTAATTTTAACCTAATTCTGTTTTGGTGACATTTGAGGACGATACACTTGAGTCTTTCTGCACAAGAATTACTGGAAGGAATTTTCTGCTTGTCATTGGAATATATTTTGCTATAGTATGATCTTCTGACCTCCTTGTTTTGCTCTAGTTAAAGAAGATAAAGAAGCTACAGAAGGTATTGGAAATCCAGCTTTTAACATGAGCAGTCCAGATATCTCAGCATGTCAGACTGCAAAAAAGAAAGTTATTAGACATGACATGCCGGATTGCACCCTTGCAGCTCACCAACAAAAATTCAGGCTGCTAGCCTCTGCAGAACAAAAAGGTGTGACTTCAGTCTTGATTATCTTCACACTCAGTGACAGTTACTGTCCTCCTGATCTAACCTGGGCATTCTGGAGCCAGCATCAGACATTCCATTCCAGCGTGTCCACACAGGCTTCCCGGGTAGGCTCTGGAAGTAAGTCAGCAGGGCACACTTAAGGATCTGTTTGTCGTTGGTATGCAGGCCATAATCTCATGTGTGAAGGTTACTGAGCACTGAATCCACCCTTAGTTGGGGTGCTCAGATGGAAGGAATTCAGTCTGTTAGGATGTAACACTCTGAACTCTGGCACAGTCAGGGGATTAAAAGCTGATTCTCCCTCCCATTTGTAGGATGCCAATCCGCAAGTATACTTGTAGACTATGCTGGCACCCCACTTTGGGTCTCAGACACTAATGCTTTCCTCTTGTAGATGAGGGCATAGATTCTCTATAGATTTTGGCATCTGTCCAAGAATTTGAGAATAAATGTAGAAAGTTGCTCTTAGTATTTAGAATTTTCTGCACGAAGTATTTTCCACAAGAATAACGTCCTTGATTTTCTGATTTAGGAATATGTCTGATAGTTTAACTACATAAAGGACGCTCCCTAAGCAAGGGGAATATATACTTTCCATCATCAGGTTGATACACAATGGTGGGTTTCTTGTACTCTAGAAAAGATAGCTCTTCTAAGCTTTGACCCATTTGTTGCCAAGAAGGAAAGATTATTCTGCACCTACAAAGAAAGAAGTCATTAAAACTTGCTGTCTTTGCCCTTATCTTTATCATTGAACAAGATAAGAGATATCAGAATTTAATGACCAGATAGCTTTTTTGAGAGAGAGCTGTCTGAAGTAATGAAGCATGAACTGGCACAGATGTGTTCTCTGCTGGTCCCACTTAGCAGCCTCATCAGGATATCCACCTGTATGAAATAGGCAGTCCAGATCCCAGTAGGTTATCATGGTGTACAGGGCATTTATTTTGTGATATTTAACTCCTAAGGCTCAGAAGAATTCCTGTCAGTCTCTAAGTTCCTGCATTCTATGTCATATCATGCATGTTCACATCAATGGATTTAGCTTGACTCTTTTTTTCTTTGCTTGCCTGCACGTGTGTGTGTGTGTGTGTGTGTGTGTGTGTTTTCCTGTACATGTAGACAAGTGGCAGGATATAGAGCTATTAAAAACAGTAATATTAATAATAGTAGTAGTACCAGTAACAACTGTCATTCTCAAGTTAGGTATTAATCATATACTTATTATACATACACTTTAAGTACATTATCTCTTAATTTCATACTTCTTTAGGGTGACATGTTTGGATACATACTTAGCCAATGCAGTAAAGGCCACAAAAACAGTAGTTTAGACAAGTTTCAGTACCTTCCTCTTTTATTGCTTTGTAATCTCTAAGCTATTGTTTTCACCTGCATGATCCAAAATGACGTGATAGCATCTCAATGTTATAAGTACTGGTAGAGAAGGAGAAAGCCACATTCAGGTAGCTAAATATATCACTTCTGTTCATATTCCTTTTGCTAAAAACTGGTCACCTGTCCACATATAACTGCAAGAGAGGCTGGGAAATGATACTTATAGCTGGGAGCCAAGTTTCAAGATGCAATTGGAGATTTTATATTATTTAAGAAGAAGATAATGTATATTGGAGCCAGGTAGCAGAGCTACTCCAGGTACACTTTGTTATTATCCTTATTTTATAGGTGAAGAAATCAAGGTTGTAACTTGGCCAAGGTAAGGCATATAATGAATGGTAGAATGAGAGCTTTAAACCAAGACTTGTTTTACTCTATGGCCTATGTATTTCACCCCTCTGCCATATGACTTGGTTGTGGGTGATATCACTAGATAAAGGGGCAGGACATGGTGAAGGGATGTCAAGAAAATATCTCGTGTGGTTTCATGACATATTCAGAAGTGAAACTCTACAGCTTAGTCAGGCATCTAAGGTCAGCAAATCTATAGATTGGCAGAGGAGATGCTGGTGAGGGTGTTGAATACTCAGGAACATAAAGGGAGCATTAGTGCCTTCTGGCATTCATCTGGCTTCTTAGTCAACTCTCAATTCTGAAGATAAACTTCTGGGATCATGTGTCCGATGGCAGTTTTAAAATCCTTAATTCCCTTGATGGTCTTCCTTGTTGAACTGGGGTATTTCATAGTTAGACCCTGAGGCAAAAAAAAAAAAAAAAAATGTGTTCTTTAATGCAAATGGAGGATAAAACTGGCCTTCTTTACAAATTTATATTTAACAGAAGTGTTCAGAATTCTTCAGTAAGAATTCGTTTTCCTTGGCATATGAAGCCTTTGTGAAAACCTCAAATGTTAAGTTTTAAAATGAATATTTAGAAGTAGAATACCACTTGATGACTTAGCTGTTAAACCCAATAAAAAGAGGCATGGGGAAGAACTACACTTATGGTACAGGTGTTAGAGAGAGAGAGATAAGATCATAAAAAGGATGACAGCTGAGATGAGTCTTAGAATATAAGTAAATATTACAGGCAAGCACTGCCTGATAGAAATGTAATGTGAACAACATATGTAATTTTACATTTCCCAATAGTCACTTCTACAAAATTAAAAAGAAAAAAAGTGAATTATATTTGATAATGCGTTTTATTGAAACCAATATCTCTAAAATACTTCTGTTTCAACTTATAATCAATGTAAAAATGGACACATTTTCCATTTTTGTGACAAAATCTTGGACATTCAGTGTGTTAATTACACTGACAGCAAACCTCAATGTGTGTGAGCCCCATTTCAAATGTTCCATAGGCAGACTACTGCAGGTTTGGTCCCTGTGTCTTAGAGATGACAGTAGACACTAAGGTACCACTTTTCACATTGATAGTTGTCCTGGTTTTTGGAAAATAGGGGGAGGGGAAATTTATAACTCAAAAATATATCAGAGTAGTAGGAACCTTACATATCCAACCAGTCACTGACATAGGAAGGGGTTACACCATCTCTATTCTAGAACATAGCCAACTTAAGAAAATGTGTGTGTGTGTGTGTGTGTGTGTGTGTGTGTGTGTGTGTGTGTGTGTATAAAATGCAATTCAACCCTCCTTGTCCTTGTCCTCCTTGAGAAAACTTCCAAAACAATTCAACTGCTAATGAGATGTACAATTTTATGGCCTATGAACTAGGACAGATATTTGAAATATGTGAATTTAGATATTGCTGGATATTATAGAACACAATGTTTCTTGTTAATACGATTTTAAAAAGAACATTTATATTAACTGACAACATGGTAACTTAGACAAAATAGAGTAGTTACATATTTTCCCCACAGTATTATTATAATTAGCACAAATTATCATCTTATAAGTAAATATCAATACATTCCCCCCTTTTAGAAGCTTTTTAAAAAAAGGAATTCCTTGTTTATAATGGCAGAATTCCAATACTACCTTATCCAAATTATCCCAAGGAAATGTAAAATTTTTTGATAGATAGCCATTTAAATTATGAAGGAAATGTCTAGGAAAAGGATTTTTCTAGAAGCAAACCTTGAGTAAAAATGATTTCAAATTTGTGATGAATTCAGTCCCTTAGTACAGTAGAAAAGTAATTAAATTAATCTTTAAGAATAACCAAAATAGGCAACTATTGAGTAGTGTGATTTCAAGGTTCCTTGGAAGGACTTTGTAAGTCCTCAAATTCCACCTGAACACTTGGATGTTAAGGCATCCCTAGAAGTGTATTCATTTAAGCAATCTTCAGGGAAAATGAAAATATGCAGCAGAGCTGATGCTGTAAGAGGGCATGTCATTTTTGCAAGGTGTGAATGGAAAACAAAACAGAACAGAGTTCTCAGTCCTTCCTTCCTCCTGTTGCTGTGTCCCCTCCTAGCCTGTTCTAACTCCCTCACTCCTGATGAAAGTCTGCAGACTCTGCTTCACGTTCTTCTTTCAATTCTCACTGGCCTTGCATTAGTAGGCCAACAATAAACAAAAACATAAGACATGCTATTTTCTGTACATTCCCAGAGGAATTTACATACATGTGTTCATTGAGGGGCACACGTCCTTGACTGCATCTTGCCTGGAACCTGTCTTCACGTATAGTATATGGCTTTCCTGACCTCCGTGTCCCAGCTCATCCTCTGTGCTCACCATTTGTTTCATCTGCCTGATGATGATACTCCTGATGACGAGAACAGTAAGTTCAAAATAATACCAGTTGAAAAGGAAGATAGGTAGGGAAGCCACAGCTGCTTAGAATTTTAGAAAGAGGAGTTTGGCTTATCTCCATAATCTAATAGGGCCTGAGGTCTGGATGGGTAGAAAAGGCATCTTTGATATTCTGAACATATAATGTTGTGGCACTAAAAAGGTAATTAATGCCTGAATTCTAAATCACAGGTAAAATAAGATGTGATAAGGAACTAAAATAAGATGTGAGAAGGAGCTATGGAAGTAACTTTAGATGGGAAGAAATAGAAATATAGAAGTGGATACTCGAATAGTTAAACTAATGGTGAATGATTTAAGTGCACTTGGGAAGTGTTTCTCTTTTAATTCCTAATGTTCACTGAGGTTATTTCAAGACTAAGAAGTGGAAAGGAAATGAATGTAATCAGTTTTATGTTTTATTGTCTAAGCAGGTATAGCTATGCTACTAATAAAAGCAGATTTGAGAAGTAAATATTTTAAAAATATTTTTTTATTTTAAAGATGGGGCATGATTCAAGGTTAGGTATAAAAATAGTCATTGTATAGGTAAAGTTTTGGTCTCGCTATGGTTCCTACATCTCCTGCTTTGAGATCAGGTACGCTTATTGTTGAAGTGTGCCTCCTCTCCCCTGCAACCTCCTCTGGCAGTTTCCCACTACTGCTAATCCCTTTCTTATAGTATTTTTTAAAATTTTCTTTTTTGTATTTATTCATTTATTTAAATTTTAAAGATATAGGGTACAATTCATGCTTAGGTATACAACATTGATTATGCAGGTACCCTTGCTGATGAGGTGTGACTCTTCCTCCCTTAGCAGTTTCATTCAACTGCCAATGCCTCCCACCCACCCCTGGCAGTTTCCCACTACTGCCATTCCCTTTCTTATAGTGTTATGATAATTGTTCAAGGTTTGCTTGTGAGTGAGAACATATGGTACTCTGTTCTTTGTTTCTGTGATGGATCACTGAGTATGATAGACTCTAAATCCAGCCAAGCTGGTACTCAGTTCTTTATTTATGTGAAAGATCCCTGAGTATTACAGACTTTAAATCCATCCAAGTTGCTGCAAAGTTCATAATTTGGTCCTTCTTTATGGTTGCATAATATTCCACTGTGCATATGTACCACATTTTTAAAATCCAGTCTACTTTCAATGGGCAGCATGGTTGATTCCCATGCATGTGCAGATGTCTTTTTTGTACAGTGATTTGAGTTCCTCAGGGTATAGTCCCAGAAGGGAGATTGCTAAATTGTATGGGAGGTCGATGTTTAGCTCTTTTGGGAATCGCCACACTGTTTTCCACAGAGGTTGTTTAGTTTACACTCCCACCAACAGTGTGGAAGTGTTCACTTTTCATCACATCCTCTCCAGTATTTGTTGTTTTTTGAGTTATTGATGATGGGCACCCTGACTGGAATTGGGTGGTATCTCAGTGTAGTTTTAATTTGCATTTCTTTGATGATTAGTGAAGCTGAGTATTTTTTCATGTGTTTGTTGGCTGTTTGTATGTCTTCTTTTGAGAAGTGTCTATTCATATCTTTTGCCCACTTTTTAATAAGACTGCTTCTTTTTTTCTTTTTGGCATGTTTGAGTTCCTTGTAGATCCTAGATGTTAGTTCTTTGTCACATACACAGTTGGCAAACGATTTTTCCAATTCTGTGGGCTGTCTCCCCACTCTCTTGATGGTTCTTTTGCTTTGCAGATGCTTTTCCGTTTGATGAGGTTCCACTTGTCTAACTTATGCCTTCTGGCATGGGCACTTGGGGTTTTGATTAGAAATTTGTTGCCAGTTCCAGTTCCACAAGCAACAGAAACCATCTCTGACTAATTTAAACAAAAAGATTTTGTAGACTCTGAGTCTTAATGGTGGGAATGGGCAGAAACCAAGGAGCCTGGAGGTATAGGAAGTTGGAAACATAGTAACCATTTCATAGCAGGAACAGTCTGGTTCTGATGCAGCTGTTGCTACTGTGATGAGTAACTGCCAAGTGTTCTTTCCATCTTTGCTTCACTTATCCAAAATTAAAAGTCTTAAGGGAGAGCATTTGATTGGCCATACATAGGCCACTTGCCTGCCTCCTGGCTTTATTACAGTGTAGGAGAAGGAGGTTCTGTCAAGCCCTCGTGGCTTCTGTAGTTAGAGAACCTGGAGTTATAGGGTCATCAAGGTTACAGATAATGGAACGATAAAATTGTGATGCCTTTAGGGAGGGGAAATTGATGCAAGACAACAAATACAAAGAAGCCAAACAAAAATCTGATGGATATCCCCAACAGTGTATAAGTCTTGGATTATTTACTGATCATATCCTACTGTTAATAATGTCAGTACAACTCAAATGAAGTGGTATATGCATGATTGATTTGACATAAAACAATTCATACAATATTTTCCTTATGAGTTGTGTATATAGCACTAAAAATCCTCTATGTGTCTCTCCATTTCTTCCTCCTCATTTACTGAAAGGCACATTTACTGAGCATTTTATATTTTATAGGTACTATGTCAGGTAGGAGAAATAAAAATTAAACAAAACAGACACGAAGACTCTCTAAGATTATAAAATATGTCACAAAAGTTACATTGAGAGCAACCACAGGCACACCTCAGAGATATTGTGGGTGTGTTTCCAGACCACTACAATAAAGCAAATATTGCAATAAAACAAGTTAAATGAATATTTTGGTTTCCAAGCACATATAAAAGTTATGTTTATATTGTAGTTTATTATGTGTAATAGCAGTATGTCCAAAAATGTGTACATAACTTAATTAAAAAAAAATTTGCTGCTAAAAATGCTAATAATACTCTGAGCCTCCAGTGAGTCATAATTTTTTGTTGGTGGAAGGTCTTGACTTGACATTGATGACCGCTGATTGATCAGTGTGGTGGTTTCTGAAGGTTGGTTTGCTGTGGAAATTTCTTAAAATAAGACAATAGTGAAGTTTGCCTTATCAATTAACTCTTTCTCTATAGCATGCAATACTGTTTGGCAGCATTTCACCCATAGTTGAAGTTTCAAAATTAGAGTCAATCTTCTCAAATCCCATTGCCACTTTATCAACTAAGCTTATTTCATATTCTAAATTCTTTGTTGTCATTTCAACAATGTTCACAGTATCTTTACCAGGAGATGTTTCCCTCTCAAGAAATGACTTTCTTCACTTATCTGCAATAAACAACTCCCCACTTTTTCAAGTTTTATCATGAGATTGCAGAAATTCAGTCACACCTTCAGGCTTCTCTTCTATTCTAGTTCTCTTGCTATTATTTCTCCCACATCTGCAGTTAATTCCTCCACTGAAGGCTTGAACCCCTCAAAGTCATCTATGAGGGTTGAAATAAACTTTTTCCAAACTCCTGTTAACGTTGATATTTTGACCAGCCTCCATGAATCATGAATGCTCTTAATGGCATCTAGAAGTGTGATTTTTTTTCCCAGAAGGCTTTCAATTTGCTTTGCGTAAGGCCATCAGATAAATCACTATCTATGGCTGCAATAGCAATACGAAATGTATTTCTTAAATAATAATACTTGAAAGTTGAAATTATTCTTTGATCCCTGGACTGCAGAATGAGTGTTGTGATAGCAGGAAAAATAGCAACAACAGCAACGACATTAATCTCTTGTACATCTTCATCAGACCTCTTCAATGACCAGGAACATTGTCAAAGACCAGTAATATTTTGAAATAAGTCTTTTTTTCCTGAGCAATAGTTCTCAAGAGTGGGCTAAAAATATTCAATAAACCATACTGTAAATAGAAGTGCTGTCACCCAGGCTTTGATGTTCCATTTACAGAGCAAAAGCAGAGTAGATTTAGCATAATTATTAAGGGCCCTAGGATTTTTGGAATGGTAAATGAGCATTGGCTTCACCTTAAAGTCACCAGCTGCATTAATCCCTAACAAAAATGTCAGCCTGTGCTTATCCTTTGAAGCTTTGAAGCCAGGCATTGACTTCTCCTTTCTAGTTATGAAAGTCCTAGGTAGCATCTACTTCCAGCAGAATACTGTTTGTTTCATTTACATAGAAAATCTGTTGTTTAGTGTAGCTGCCTTCATCAATGATCTTAGCTAGATCTTCCTGCATCAGCATTTGCTGTTTCACCTTGCACTTTTATATTACAGAGATGTCTTCTTTCCTTAAATCTCACAAACCAGACTTGAAGAGCTTCCAACTTTTTTTCCTGCAACTTCCTCACCTCTTTCAGTCTTCACAGAATGGAAGAGAGTTGGTACTTGGCTTTGGATTACACTTTGGTTAAGGAACCAAAAAGAAATATTGTGGCTGGTTAGATCTTTTATTTAAATCACTCATGCGAGAAGGGCCTCCCCGCAAATGAAATCTCTTTATTTAAAATTGTGTATTTATTTTTGCATGTTTAAACTTCAGTCACCTTCAAAGTACTCTCTATTTGATGAAATATACCCATTGAGACACTTTTTCCACAGCTCTTTTCAGTTTCTGAACTTGTCCATTTTGATGCCTTTTTGTGCTTCTGCCATTTTTTTGTTTCACCTCTTCCACATTAGCAAAATGTTTCCCTTTAAAGACTTTTTTCATCTGGAGAAACAGCAACAAAAAAGTCGTTCCAGAGGAGATCAGTGGAATAGGGAGGGTGGGGAACAGGAGTCATGCTGTTATAGATCAAAACCTGCTGAACACTCAGTGCAGTGTGGGCAGGTGTACTTGAAAATAACCCATCATGAGATGGGCAAACATGTTGAAAGAATCTCCCAAAACAAACTCACTGAAATTGAAGGCAGCCTCTCACAACAACTCTAGCTGGTATACTGATGCTGATGGGTTTCTAGAACACTTACCCAGCAGGGTCAACCTGTACTTCAAGGGACCTCTCCTTCAAAAAATAATTCAATTTTTTTTGAGGGGCCCCCTTTGTACTTTTTCCATATTAGCAATAAAGCGGTTTCTCTTTCTTATCATTTGTGTGTTCACTGTAGTAGCACTTTAAAATTCTTTCAATAACTTTTTCTTTGCATTCACAACTTGGCTAACTGGTTCAAGAGACCTAGTTTTGGCCTATCTTACCTTTCAACATAGCTTGTTCACTAAGCTTAATCATCTCTAGCTTTTAATTTAAAGAGAGAGACATGTAACTCATTCTTTCACTTGAACAGTTAGAGGCCATTGTAGGGTTATTAATCTGCCTCATTTTAATATTGCTATATCAGGAAATAGGGACATGTGAGGACAAGGAGAGAGTCTGTGGATGGTCAATGGAACACTCAGAACACACACATTTATTAATTCAGTTTGTTGTCTTCTATGGGTGTGGTTTCTTGTGCTGCAAAACAATTACAATAGTAACAACGGAGATCACTGATGACTTATCACGATGGAAGATATAATAACAAAATACTATTTTTATTTTTATGTGTGTGGTGAGAGAGAGAGGCTCACTCTGTTGCCCAGGCTGCAGTCAGTGGTGTGATCATAGCTCACTGCAGCCTTGAACTGCTGGTCTCAAGCAATCCTCCTCCCTTAGCCTCCTGAGTAACAGGAACTATAGGAAGCTATTATTTTTTTTTTCTTTTTATAGAGACGAGGTCTTGCTATATTGCCCAGGCTTGTCTTGAACTTCTGGCCTCAAGTGATTATCTTGCCTCGGCCTCTCAAACACTAGGAATATAGGTGTGAGCTACCTACCCTGGCCAAATTTTATAAGTAGCATTTCTTGGATTGAGTGAATATTTCTAGGTGTATAGGCAACACAGGAAAAATGTATGTGTTTGAGTGCACCTACCATAATAGTGTAATTCAGATTCCAGTTTAGTTAATTAAGTTATGCATGTTCAGCCGAGTACTAAGCATGTCTGAAGGCCTATTAATTAAAATTGCCGAAATAAACACAGACTTTCAGTGAAAAAAACTGAGATAGAAATTTAGGTTTGCTAATACATCAATGATGTGGTCAGTGTCTTAGCAGTTGGGCAAAAAATTTTTAAACATAGTTTCCTTTAAATATTGGGCAAAATTTAAAAGAAAATTACTTTTTTGGGCATCAGAATAAGAAACTGCTATATCAATGAAATTTTATATTAAATTAAAACGGCACTAAGTTGTCTTTAGCCACCATTTGACTGATTCGTTTGTAGCATTTTCATTTAAGGAAGACTGAGATGCCTCCTGGGAAGAGACTAATTCTAAGGAAAGAGACAGTCAGGCACGCAAGCTTGATCTCATGCCAATATCTCAGGGCCAGAGAGGAAAAGTAGTTTTGATTACAGTACAATGTTTGCAATCATATTGTCCTGTGGTCTAATCCACAGGCATTTATTCCTGGGACTTAGGGAGAGGAACTTGGAGTAAAAACTGAGATCTCCATCAGTTGTTGGGGGCCTGGGTAGCTCTACCTGCTGATCTGTGTAGCATGGAGGAGCAGTATGTGGTGGGGTGTAGAAGATGATGACATATACAGGAACCCCTCATTTGGCATTGCTGATGGAACTTGGGATGGACAAAGGTGTGAGTTTAAGGTCTGATGAGAACCAGAGAAGATATTGGAGAGAACGTGGCACGGACTACAATGGGCACCAACAGGCATCAGTGTTAGAGGCAACAGCTGACACTCAAGGTGGCTTCAGCAGCAGCTCTGGAGTCAACAGGAAATACTTTCCATGTGACTTTGTGAAGCAGAGTTGCCACCAGTGGTTTCATCGTGGATGTGTATACCTTTGTGGTTTGAAGAGCATTCTTGTCAGCGTAGAATCCCTGACAGCAGGCAGCAACGTAGAAGCTGAATAGTAGAGAAAGAACATGGCAGATGTTCCAAAGAAGCTGAGAGGAACGAGCTTTGAATATATGTGATCTAAGGCCTTACATCTTTCTGGAAGAGATAAGGGGTGTTTTGAATTAAAGGTAGAAGATTCATAATGGTTGTGGCTGAGCTAGAGAATTCCTGGATTAGGGTTATAATTGTGACCTTAAAATAGTCTTTAGACTGGTGTTGCCATCAATGTACAAAAGTTTGTATTAAAAATAACTTATAAGTTCTTGTGTTAAGTGCATGATTCCAATTGTCTGAGCAGATATGTGGTGAGATTGTTTTTCCCCATAGTACACATAGCCTAGATTATTTTAGAATGGATATTGTATAAAATTGTTTACATTGTTCTCATTTATAGCTATTTTTCCCTTAAGATGGAAAACAGGTGTTATATAAAATTTATAGAACATTTAAAAATATTTTTTGCCTTGGGACATTTCAATTATTATCAAGAAAAAGAAAATGTATAGGAAAATCATTTGCTTTAGGTTTATTGAACTGACCTGGATTTGTGTCTTTAGATACCATTGGCCTCCTAAGTGATTTGAATCTCTTTCATTGATTTGGAAGGCTAAAAATAAATTCTCAGGAAAGCATCTTTCCTTCTGAAATACAGAAACATTTTATGCAGATATTAGGTGTATAAAATATTTAGTCAGTTCAATTAAAGTTTTCTTTTTTGTCCTTTCTAAAAAAATTTTAATGGAACAACAGGATT